AATAATGCATTTTTCTTTGAAATATTTATCAGAAACCTGTTTGAAAGCTTTTCTGCACAAAGAAACTCGTAAGCGTCTAAACTTTTAATGTTCACTGGTGAAGCCATTTTTGTCCTTTCCATATATTCTGGAATTTAAATTTGCATCAGCTGATTGTGTACCACACTAATGTAGATCATTTGGAGTGTGCTTGAGGAACTTTCAATGTCCAGAAGAAGGTAACAATACAATACAACTGGGCTTTGCTTTTTTAATTATTTAATATTTTAAAGTTCTTGTAAAAGAATTAGTTCATAATTTAAAGTTCATGTGGCAATCACAGAAACTGGTTTACAATCAATACAATACTTTCTAATTTGAATTTTAAGTAGTCAACTATTTGACTTCATCTGATTAGAATTTTTATGATGTCATTTCTCTGTTGCTTGCTACTGAACAGATCAGTACTCGTTGCATATAAATTGTGGTGGAAAACGAACCACCATTGAAGGAGTCACCTTTGAAGATGATCAAGACCCAGGAGGTGCAGCAAAATTCTTTCGCCAGGGACCTATCTGGGGAACCAGTACCACTGGACATTTCTGGGATTTTACCACCACTGCTACAGACTACATTGCAAATAATGTATCTATACTTAAAATGAACGACTCTGAGTTGTACACAAGTGCACGCCTCTCTCCTCTTTCTCTCACGTATTACGCACGCTGCTTTCAAAACGGCAATTACACCGTGAAACTTCACTTCTCGGAGATATGGATCAGAGGCAATAGATCTTTTCATAGTGTTAGAAGACGGATATTTGATATTTATATTCAGGTAGTCAAGCATACTGTTTGTACACTATATGCAACAAAATATGATTTCTGATTGATAAGTTTGTTACAGGAGAAACTGGTGTGGAAGGATTTTGAAATTAAAAAGGAAGCACACGGCGTTGATAAAGAACTCATTAAGGAAAGTAAAGCAGTGGAGGTTAAGAATAAAACTTTAGAGATCCGATTTCATTGGTCTGGGAAAGGGACATCTAGTGCTCTTATATCTGCTATCTCTATAGAGCCTGGTATATTCTGAGTTGGAAACATTAACTCTCTCTCATGGACACAATCTTAGATTTGTTTAAATTTTTTTTTATATCCCACTTGTTTGTACTCGTTCCATACGGGAAATGTACCAAAAATACAAGTACGTTAATTGCAATAGATTGGAAAATATATAGTACATCAAGTACAGTATACTAAAGGAAGAAGTACCCAGATGGAAAGTTTGTTTACCTTAAATAACAAGAAACTGTGCAATTTATCTCTTTCTTTTCGATCTTTCTAGCTCA